GCGTGATCTTGCGTGGGTGAAATGTTTGTAGTGGTTTTTTATAATCGGTCTGTAAATTAAATAATAATATTATAAAGACTAAATGGATATTAGAGATAGAAAACAAAATAATATGTTGAGGAATTTTAATTTTAAAAAATATATTGAGGAATTTTAATTTTAAAAACATACCAGATATGAAGAGTGGAGGATAATGGTCATTTAGCGACACTTCATTAACAACAGATCGGAAAACTTGGATGGGAGACAAAGTTTAAAATGTGTATCAATAAAAGATAACATTGGGAGGATAGGGTGGATTTATATGGATCAGGCTAAGGACCGGTGAATCTTCGCTTCAATAAAACACGTGCAAGTCCTTAAATTAACCATAGAATGACCATCATTTTCTCAAGAAGAAACTTGATGTAGGGATTTAGCCAGATAGTTAGTCTTTCAAAATAAAGAAGGACAGAAAAGGTTCTGCAAATGGCATATTTAATGATCTACTGGAAGATTTATCCAAGTCAATTATTTATTTCTACTTTCGTGGTAGATAACACAGGGTGTGACATTTCAAACGAAACCCAGTAAGAGTCGTATACTGCATTAAAAAATAAAATCAGAAACAAATTTTCCCCCCCGCGTAACACTCTTATCAAAATTACCATGTGACACTCAGTTCAAGGTCACATTTGTTGCTAGGCCGTTGTCGTAAAACAGTGAGCAGTAGCCTGCTTGTCCCGACAAGGAAATTCTGGATAAAACAAAACACGACTGATTTTAAAAAAAAATCTTCGCTGCTTAATGAAAATACTAAACATTTGCAACCCTGCATTTTGGCCCGTACGTGATGGTGTTTGTGTATATTAGTGTGGGTTCCGTTTTAAGTGGGGCAATACTTATATACATCGAAAGCAAAGGTTATGTATTTAACTACAATATGTCACAGTAAAAGTGATCTAGTGTCGAATTTGTTGGAATAAATGAGAAAGATTTGAGAGAAAATTTGTAGGGCATTACAGCTACGTAGATGCTTATTATGTTTCATTCCGATGTTATTCATCAACGCCGTATCAAGAATAGAATTAGACAATGGAGTGAAGTCTGAGAATTTGAGAGCAAGTATTAGTAATCGTTTCATGTTGCGACAATTTATGGCTGGTTTTCCTACTCCCAAATCTTTGAAGCATTTTGTAGTTCTCTGGTTTGCCTTCCCACGTAAAACGTCAGCTGATGCGATAACCACGTTACAGAAGCTCGTAGCAACAAGACGCAGTCACACGTTGTTCAGTGGAGAGAGAGGTTGCAGCTGGGTGTGGATTCCACTCAGACGAGATGGGTTTAAACCAAATACCTTGCAGCCTTCTATTAAGGAGGTGAAGCGCTGAGGGCATAGGTCGCGACCTTCCGGCCTCATATTTTCACCCTGATACCCGCACGGCAAATTGTTTGATAGTTTGTCTCCTGTTACGTACCGGGAGAGAACATTTTATGGGCTGTGAGGGATTACGTTGTCTCCACTTGCTGAAACAGGATTCTCCTGCAAAGTAACACGAATTTATAAGCTCTTTAACGCGTTAGACAAAGTTTGAAGATTTCCGTCTTCTGGGTTGTTGCGCTGTGTAGTCTGGTCGATGGTAACCAACGTTTGAGAGGTCATACTGCCTCCGTCATCAGAGTATGAAGATTTCTGTCTTCTGGGTTGTTGCGCTGTGTAGTCTAGTCGATGTTAACCAACGTTTCAGAGGTCATACTGCCTCCGTCATCAGGGTGGTGAGTATGAAGATTTCTGTCTTCTGGGTTGTTGCGCCGTATAATCGGGTAGAAATTTATGGACGTTTGAGAGGTACTTTCTGCCTTCCTTCATCAGGGCTATGATTACAACCCAGAAGACAGCCATCTTCAAACTCACCGTCGTGAAAACCTCAGATCCTACAATCTTTGACCTTTAATTTCAAGACGCTACGTATTACGACATACAATGTCCAACCAGTTTTACCCAATATCGTTAATTTGTATCATAGTCGTATCAATTCTAAGAGATTATCGTTAGTGTTACACTATACCCTATTCTACCTGATAACTAAAGATCATGTTATTCAACGATGTCATATTTCTTCAAGATCCGTTTTAATATTATCCTCCAATCAGTGTCTCAAGTTTTTAATTCATGTACTCCGTCCTTGTTATCATTTCTTATATTCACATGCGTGCTACATACGCTGCCAATTTCGTTTATCCTATATGACTTTAAAACATCTTAGTATTAAATAACATTTCAAGAATCCTGATTCTGCTCGTCTCAGCCATTTGTTTTAATGATTTATCCTTAATGTAGATCCCTCGTAATATTTAAGTGCTGAAGTTAACATTTATACCGAGAAAGAAAACGTAGTGTGAATATGGAGAGGGTTACGCCCACTATATTATCCTTATCGGGTCTAAATATTATCTTCTGTAGTTAAATATTACCAGGGATCAATGTTATAGAAATTTCATTAAAGCAGATGGCTGACACAGCCAAGAGCCTTGTACTGTGAGAATCCGTCATCTGTTTGCCGCATTGCATGACTGCGTTTCTCCGTTTTATATCGAGCCAATAATCCACTTTGTGGTCAGGTTGACGTTCCAAATTTCATTTCTTATGCTACCCACAATTTGTTTCAGTTCCGTGACTGCCAGCCAATAAATAACCACAATTCTCGATGCATTAAACTCGAGGCAGAATTCTTTCAGTGGCTGAACCTAGCTCAGTGGGCCTACGTCTGACACTCTCCGCCTTACCCGGTGATTTTACAAAGGTTTACGCGGTTTTACTCAGTCCGCAGGTATATACGTCAACATGTTTCGAATATGTTAACGTCTCATCTTAGTCATCATTCTAGCCTACATTAGCTTCTTCAGAAAACTACTTACAGATCTTAGTCAGGTCGATGTAACCTGTTCTGTAATGTGTTAATTGTCTAAGCTCCCTGAGATTGCGGGAAATGAAGAAGATATTCTGAAGTACAATTCGCCACTTCGCACAACTGTTGCTAGGTATTTATATTGCACCTCCCCCCCCCCAACCCGTATCGACATGCACCGTTCAGTGGAACTCAGACGTGCAGTAAAAAGAGTTCTGACTGAAAGCTTCAGATTGGTAACTCAGCCACTTATCACGCTGAAGTTTTAAGTGTCAATTTAAGGCAATCTAAATACTTTTTCATCGCTAGGTTAGTAAAGAATCAGTCTTTTTCAATGCCATGTCTTACAGAAAGATTGTAATGTAGATTATTTTCTATCGAGCATATACGTACAACGAGGGTGAAAATATATTTTATTATTTATTATTAACTGCAAATGGGTTTTTACCCGGTGGCAGTGGTACTACGATAAGACACAACAAAACAATAAGACACAACAAAACAATAAGACACAACAAAACAATAAGACACAACAAAACAATAAGACACAACAAAACAATAAGACACAACAAAACAATAAGACACAACAAAACAATAAGACACAACAAAACAATAAGACACAACAAAACAATAAGACACAACAAAACAATAAGACACAACAAAACAATAAGACACAACAAAACAATAAGACACAACAAAACAATAAGACACAACAAAACAATAAGACACAACAAAACAATAAGACACAACAAAACAATAAGACACAACAAAACAATAAGACACAACAAAACAATAAGACACAACAAAACAATAAGACACAACAAAACAATAAGACACAACAAAACAATAAGACACAACAAAACAATAAGACACAACAAAACAATAAGACACAACAAAACAATAAGACACAACAAAACAATGAGACACAACAAAACAACACACCACACTCAAAATAAAACGACTCATAAAATTACAAAACCATAAGGCACAAGAATTTATACACAAAAATACTGAAGAAGTTTTTTGTGTCATAATTTGGAAGCTGAAGTTACTTCAACATGGTAATTTAAGGTCACGTCTATAATTAATGTCCTTTCCGATAGATAGCAGTTGCGTTCTTACACAGTTCTGGTTCTTAATGCTGTGCTACTATACTCCATACGCAGTACGAATCGTTATACAAGTTCACAGACTCTGTTTTTATATCATTTTTGTAAATCTGTGAGGTAAATTTTTGCACAATAATTACGCATAAATCTGTGTATCGCATCACGTATAGTTATTTCAATTCTTTCTGAAATGTCAGCTATAATTTTACGCTCTCATAAGCGAATAAGTCTTTCGGACGTTGTCATCCCTTCAGATTTCCGACCAAAACTTTATACGCATTTTCGTATTACTTTGCGTGCTGCACAACCCGCCCATCTAACTCTCTGATACACATTTCATTAATTTTTCTTGAGGCTATGAAGAGAGACGCGGGTGTCTGATCCTGTATGAAGCAGAATGTCTTGTAAAACACGTAGTGTGTCTTATGAGGCATACTCTGTGACGTGATGTCAAATATTTTGGAGATAAATTGCGAGCTAATATTTGTCTTCGCTATACGCAAATGTCTATAAGTGCGACGTAGAGAAATCTGTTTAGGAGGTAAAGAACGTGTCTGGATTGAGACAGGTAAAACAAAAATAGTAGTTGGAGTAAAGTACAGTTCGTGGCTGGGAAATAAATTCACACGCAAACGGCACACCCGTCGTATAAACACGGACGTACGGACGCTTCAAATTACGGCCTGACACGGAAAAATAATCAATCGCCCGAAATAGAGAGAGAGAGAGACAGGCAAGGCGGACAGTAGTAGTTTATGGCAGAGAAATAAACGAGACACGA